TTAGGGGGGGGGGGGGGGGGGGGGTAGGATTAAGGTAGGTGGGTACTCATGTTCATGTTTTGCATGCCTTAGTTGTTAGACCATTTACAACGCGTTAGCGAGAGGAGGACGGGGCATTTTCCCACGGGATTGATCACCGATGGCCAATCGTCTCTTTTCCACCTTGTCAGAGGTGGCTCAAAATTATTTTCCCGATCTCATCTATATCCTATCTGCATCACTGAGGGGGGCATATGCACTCTTCGCTTGTCTTATCCTAGTGATTTTCACGATAAATGCGCGATATTCCGTTCGCTCCTCCCGCGTTATCCCAGCTGACATGCCCAAGAAAAACCATCAACCGTGTGCTCCTCCTCCAACAGCGCCAGCCCCTTGCAAAATACCGTAGGAAGTTCATTTCGACAAGAAAATAAAGAAAAAGCACCACGCAACACAAAACCGATCGATCCCTTACAGAAACGCCCCGCGCGTCGCCCGAAGAAGGCGACGGAACCTCGAGGCAGTGCGCCACCGAGTAAGCCTCCGCCCCCTTCGCCGCCTTATTCTTGTTGCCTTGGCAAGCGAGAAGACTGGCGGCTTCCTTGCTGACCCTCCAGTTCTTGGTGGGACGGCCCTGGTTCACCGGTGGCCCGACGGCGGGGGCCCCTAACTCGCCCCCCCCCCCCCCTCCGATGTTGGACGTAGCGTCCTCGATGGGCCGGAGAAAGAGAGGGTTGGAGGATACGTGTGCAGTACCGGCGTTGCGGTGGGAAACACCGGGCGCAAGGTTTGAGCCTGACACTCGTCGGACAGAGTCGACCGTTGCCTGCGGTGAACAAGCCTTCCAGGCCGTCGTTACGACGAAAAGTGATGCAACCTCAACAGTAGTGTAAAAGTAGTGAGGCCTAGGTTGGCTGTGCGCGTTGTGTACGACGATGGACGCGGTGTCGATTTCCAACAGAACACCACTGGAGGAGTCTGAGACGAAAAGGTGTGGGTAATCTCTGCGAAAACGATTCTCGCATATGACAACACTGGTTTTGTCCCTCACTGCAAACGGTTTGGACGGGAGAGGGACACAATAGTTGTTGTTTTTTTCGCGCAGAAAGCAGAGCATTTCTTGATCATTCTTAGCGTTGTGACCAACAACAACAAAAACCGCTTCGCATGTTAGATTATGTCGAACGAGTATTCTTTCTCGTATGCATATGTGTAGGTGTGTGTGTTCGTCCCATCTATCCTGGCGCCAGGTTTACAAACCTTCGGTGTGTTACGCACATCTTAAAAAAAAACACATACACGTTATTTCATTGGTCGGCCAGTTACCGCGGTCGATGCTAATGATAAAGACACACACACACCCGCGGCATGGTTTACCAGGTGAGAAACGAAACCGTAAGCGATCTCGCCACTGTTGCCGAGGGAAGGAGTTACAGATGAGCTCGGTGCAGCAGCAAACGGCGGCGACGACGATGTGGATGACGCCTTCGAGTGGATCATGTCCTGCACACGATGTCTCTCCGTTGCCTTGTCTGTAAAAACGCGGCGGGTTTGTTGGGAATGGGAAATCACAGCGGAGAGAGGGGGGGGGTTATACGGCAAGGTGGTTATAACACGGTAGCAATCGTTGTTCAGAAGTGTATTGATATTTGACCCACCTGCACGCACGCCCATTCCCAAAAAGCATCATGGGTGTCTAAGCATTTGACACGGTACTGCTGGGAAGCATCGAGGGTTGTTGTTGTTGTTGGTGGTGATGTCTTCGCATTAAAAACCGTTCCGATCTCTCTATACCCAGTGCCTCCACCTGCACGCACTGATCGAACCCTTGACGCGGTCGATTCCCTTCGGTACATTGAGCAGCAAGTACATTTCACACGCAAGCCAACATGCCCCTCTGAAGAAAGTCCGTTGTCTAGCCAAAACCGTTATCCAAACAATAAACGGTGTTCAGAATGGGCGCACAGAGCAGAAACTTCAATTATGAATCCAGTCCATCCGAGCCAATACAGCACACACACATGTTAGCTTCCTTGGATGCAGGCGGGAAACAGGCGAGGTATCATGGAGTACAATCAACACACCTAACCTAGGTGCACAACATGTTGAATATCTATATCCGGAGGCGAGGGGGGACGGTGTCGGAAAGAAGCACAGGGAGGCACGCTGATGTGCAATTGGCCAGGAAGAAATTCAGAAGACCTCTGTGGTGATACGGGGGTGGCGTGCCGGCGATCATCATCCCTCCCGCAAACCTCACCGACCCACTTGCTTGTAAGAACACCTGAATACGAGTATGTAGTCGGGCCGCAATCCCCAGCAACTCCAAAACTCTGCTGCAGTACTGCTGTATGCATCCGTACGATTGAATACTTCAGAGATAACCTCATCTTACCCCAATCTATTGTCATGCTTCCCTCCCTGCTGCCTTCGTTGCTTGACCCCCCAGAAGCACCGGCAGGCTTCATCAGCAGCGCCTCCTCCCCAACAACGGGCCGGTGGTGGCGGTGGTTGCACCTGCTGGTGGCGTTTGAATCGATGGAAGAAGAGGCGACAGAAGCGGTGGACATAGGGCGACGCCGACTAGATGCCCTTTCCATCGAAATGGCGACGCGGGTGCAGCGACTGTAGTGCCGGGCGGCGGCGCATGATGACGCCTTCATGCTACCCTCTGCCTCCCTTACTTGTCGCTGCGGGTGCTCTGTCTGCTGGCTGTTGCGCAAATCACACAGCAGATGCATTATCCAAGAATGGAAAAGTATTGGTACCCAACGCTTCCGGTTCCCGTGCCCCCCACGAAGAGACCGGCATGCAAGGAGAGCCGAGAGCCGACTGCAGTGTAGGCATTTGCACAGCAACGAGCCAGAGTGCGGAGCAGAGAGCGAAGCAGCGGGTGGGTTCTCCGACAGCACTTTGCAGAACGCCAGGGAATTTTCATCCGAAGGGCCGGAGGACGTTTGGGATAAGGCTGTGTACTACGTTCGTCTGTGGTCAAAGGAAAATACAATCGAAACACACACAAGAGCCAGCTGTCCCTAAAATCCGTGGTACAAGCGGGAGTTTGATTTGAGAGGCGCAGCTAAAGCGACAGCAGTGGTGGCATCGCACAAAAGGAGGAGCTCCATCCCCACGCAAATGCCGCTGTTCTCAAGGTCCCGCTCGAGGAGCAGCAGCGCTGGCAGCAATGGCCAGCACATCGCGGTAGCAAACGGCGGCGGCGGGCCAGGCAACAGCAGCAGCAGTCAGGTTCACGAACAACAGCAGGCGTACGGATCAGCGCCGCCTGGTACTACTGTGGGGAAGGGTACAGCATCAGTCGAGGAGGACGTGACGCCCTCGACGCGGGTCCCGTCTGCAGACGACGAGGCTCCAGGTGCGCGCGAGTGGGTCCACGAGGATTTAGTGCGTGCGTTGTATCTAGAGGGTTTGACAAGGCAAAATGATGTAGGCTGCATCATCATGTCATATCCCTGTCATGAACGTGTTTGCAGTTTGCGGCGTTTGTTGTTGCAGTTTGCTGAGACAGCGGCTACCGTTCACACCGGCTTATGGTTCTCTCTCTCTCCCTCTCTCTCTCTCATGCATCATGCCCGCTGCGGCGGCGCAAAGGGTCTACGCCTTTGCCACCAGGCTGCGGTTTGCTCGCCTATGCGCCTCGTTGGTTCTAGCTTTTGCGGCCGGCCCCACCCCATCCCTCGGTGTGTCGTTCACGGAATACGTAACATACAGCACCGGACATCATCTGCTGCTGCACAGCAGGGCGGGGTGTTCCAAGTGCCAGCAGCTGGCATCACTTGTCCTCTTCAGCGTACAGGACTCTTAAGCTCAGCCCAATACCTACCCAAGGCGCCCTTTCCCCAATCACTGCAAAGACTTCAACACACGCGCAACCTTCGGTATGTCTCGAACGGGTACAAATATAGTCATTCCGAATGGCACTACATTGTACACTTTCTCTCTAAGTAAGAAAGGCAAGACTTGAAGTCTGCTTTGTGTAGACGAGCATGTGTAGACTACATGTCGCGAGTGCCCGTTTTGAGACCCGAGTCAGACACCCCCTCGCCTCTTGACACCTCCGCGCAGGGCACGGGAGTTATGACTATTTTTCGCCTTGTCAGCGTACCCCGTGACCTCCGGTGCGGCTTGCTGACGGCCCTGACTGCTGCATGCTCCAGAGCAGCGGTTGTTCTGGCGTGCATGTGCGCAGCCATTTTAAATACCAGTAGTCTTCAACAACTACTTGTACCAATTTTGGCATATGGTGCGGAAGTGGGGCAGAGTTCATTTACTGCCTGCGGGCTCAAGTTTATCGCCGTTGCACCCCGTCAAGAACTCCGCTCTTGTGGCAGTATCCGTCCATGGCCAGGCCAATATTTATATTTTTCTTGAATCCTGTGCGGTGCAATTTTGGTCTATCTGTGTTTCGCACCCCTTTCCGTGCGCGCAAGGAGCGCTTTCGATAGCGCCGCATGATTATATATGTACTCCCCAAACCTGAAAAATAATAAATAAATAAATAACGCACCCATATCACAATATATCTTATTGGCATGCCAGGGAGGAGGACGTCGTGTGGTGGGATTTCATATGTACTCCCCAAACCTGAAAAATAATTACTCCCCAAACCCACAAACCAAACAAACCAAAAACAAATACTGTACCTAATTCATGAACATGTTGTGGTCCGACCTCCGTCGCCATTTGCGAAACATAAACATCCACTGAAAGCACAAAGCATCAACCAAACGATGGAATATCTACGCCCTCCGAGGGTACTCCAATTCATTGCTCACACGTAGTAAGTGGCCTCAACCAGCAGCGTTGCCAGGAAGGGGGTCACGTGCTTCACCACGAGCCGCCACTTCTGTCACTTTTCCTTTTTTTGCGAGAAGACACTGCTGTCACTTTTCCTTTTTTTGCGAAAAGACACTGCTGTGAGACACCGCGTCAGTACCCAGTAACTAACAGCACGGGCCCCGAGACGCGAAACGTCAAAGTCGGGTAGAGGTTCATTTTCTTATTTCATCGCCAACGTTGAGCACAGGTTGTTACTAATATTAATAATATCTGGTATTAATAGAGTTTTATAGTGTACTATAGTGTACAGCAAGGAACCACCGCTAACGGTGTGTTTCTTGGCACGTTTTCCAAATTTTTGTGAAATTTTGAGCCTCTATTTTTAAACAGCAGTACCACAGTATTTCTTAACGAACTGCGGGGGCGTACTTCGGTGCTTTTGCCCCACATACCGTCCTCCGCGTTCTCTTCAAGCAAGTGCCAACCCATTAAACATGAAAAAATCTCGTCCCATTTTTGACCAGTTTGAATGGTTTTTATACAGAACGCGGCAACACTTTCAAGAACTTACTCCTCAAGTGTAGAACTTGAGCCTCAGCAACTCCAAAATCTAAGAAGTTGGACATGACACCGGGTATTAAGCCAAGAAGCCTGCAACTAAAACCGGTATATAGTCACCGTTGGGATTCAGTACCCCGTAGACAGGGTGAGAAACGAACGTCGACCAACATATTGTAGGAGGTTCTCATGCCTACGTGGTGGCGAGCGTTCTGTGTAGTAGCTGGGGTTGTACTGGTGATTGGCCTGCCCGCGCGCGCTATGTATGTATTGCAAAATAATGGCACTTCGCAACGCACTGCTGTAGTGCTGCCAGCTGGGCTCGAGTAGTAGGCGGGTCACTCAACGTGCTGCTGCAGTGCTATCTACCAGCTGGGCTCGAGCAATGGGCAGGTACCTAGGTTGTAGTTGCGACACCACAGACAAGCTCGCCCTCTTGCGAAAACACGCTCGGTGGCAACATTTTACCGGTGAGCCCCAAGACAGATACCCAGGCTCAGATCAGGAGGTCAGGCGACACACACAGCAGTACTCCCATACCCCGGTGATTTGTATACATTTGAAGGCGTTCTTTGCCGCCCGGGTTCTCTTTAGTGTCGTACAGCAGCATGCATATTCGGTGCGCCAACGGTGTTTGGTTTTCCTTAAGGAAGCGAGCACCCTACGACACCGTCACGTACAGCAGCCGCTGTAGAGTTTTGCGGGGTATTTCTGAACCACACTCTGTTGTGTGTATTCGAAAACACGGCGCCTCCAGCTAGCTGTCTTCTCTACGCGCAACGATCACTGATATCTGCGTTCACCATCTCTTCACAACAAACTAAAACACGGCACGCAGGGGCTGCTTGTTTGCTTGCACAAGATTCCAGGCCACATTTTGCGAACATCAGGGCTTCATGTTCAATGATACATTGGTCTCACTAAACGAGGTTATAAACAACACAATGTAAAGTGAAATGTGTTTCCAACAACTACACAATGATGCGAGTCCAATTGGTCCCACTATATCAGGTAAAAGCAATACAAAAACGTGAAATGTGATTCCAACCGGTGTATTGTACAAAAATTACTTGTTCAATGATACGAGTCCTATTGGTCCCACTAAGTGAGATTAAAAACTGCCTGAAAACGGTGGAAGCTGTGATGTGATGCCATTTCTTTACTCTCTCTCTCTCTCTCTCTCTTTCTGTTTGCTTCTCCCTTCCCTGATTCCCCGATTTGTTCTCCGTTTCGTTGCTTGTGGGTGAAAGCAGCGGCCGACGCTGAGATGGGGGACAGGCCGCTGGCGCGACCTTTGGCCCCACCACCACAGCCGCAGCCGGCCCTCAAGCCGATGCAGATGAAGGTATGTATGTACGGCAGCGGCAGCAGCAGCAGCAGCGCCATGATCTCCTGCGGTGGTAGTTAGTGCTTGTTGTTGTCGTCGTCGTTGCTGGTGGCCCTTGTCTCCGTTTTGTGAAATTTGCAGCACGCGTCTATATAACACTCTGCCTGAAAGGCAGTACAACACCCCACCCTTTATCTTTGCTGTCTGCCGTTTGTGTGCAGCGGCTCCATGATCTCCCGCGGTGGTAGCGTTGTCATTGGTGATTGTCCCTGTTTGGTGGCGGATCTGTCCGGTGTGAGAACTTTGAAGCGCACCTCCGCACAACTCTCTCCCCAGAAAGGCAGTGCACCATCTCACGCTTTCTTGTTGTCTGCCGTTGTGTGCAGCAGCGCCTTGGTCTCCTGTGGTGGTAGCGTTGTTGTTGTCGTCGTCGTTCTCAGTGATGATGGTGGTGGTTCTGTCCGTCTGGGTGTTAGATTCGCAGCACCTCGGAACCACGCTCTCCTCTAAACGGCGTGCGTGCCGGTGACAGAAAACGATGGTATCGTCATGGAGCCCCTCCCATGAACACGGCACGCGATGCCCGTCAACCAAATGCTCACACAAGGAGAGACAGAGACAGAAGATTAGCCTTAGCGCCGCATTCTTCCAGAGAATGTGTTGCCTAACACCACACGGTTAAGTTTAACATGCGGTGTTCGGGAATACATATTCTTCAAGAATTGCGGCCCTCTGCTAATTTTATTTCTTGTCCTTTGTGGTGGTTGCAAATGCCACGGCCTCTGCTGCACGTTCGGTCTGTATCTCACCTTGTGTGTGGTTGGTCCGCACGTGCCGCGCTACCCAGACCCACCGCCTGTCGTACCGCACAGAAATTGGCGGCATCGATTTTATTTTTGTCGTTGTTGGTGTTGTCCCTCGTCTTGACATTGGAATAATGTTCGGAGAAGTTCTGGCGTTCATGGAGTACCTACCCACCTGCCCCGTCCCGACGTGGTAGGCACGGGCTATAAGCTAGCCGACGAACAGATGAAGATTGATAGTGAGAGATGTCGAAATTTGTGGGAATGGCTTGCAAGTCTCATCATCGCGCTATCATGCTCCCCTTTTTTATCTCTCTCAGTGCAATCGAAAACTTTGGTAGACCCCCTGCTATCCTCTCCTTGTGATTCCCCCTCTCTCTAGCATCTGGTTTATGTTTACGTTCATTTTAAGGTTAGTTTATTAGTTTATGTTGAGCTCATTTTAAGGTCAGTTTATGTTTATGTTCATTTCATGGAAGTTGTGCTGTGTGTGGATGATCACTCGTCTCCTGCACCCCAAGGTTTGCACCACCCCATCCTCTGTTGTTTGTTTATTCAGTTGTGTGTGTGTGTGTTTGTCGCATCTATTCTGGCGCCGGTTTACAGGCCTTTCGGCGTATATACCTGACGGATCAGCCGGGGTCACACATTCACACAAGAGGAAGGTCACACCGGTGGATTTTTTTTTTTTGCCCCGCCTTTCCCCTTGCGATGCTTGCCTTAGTTCTTATCACGAGAAGGGTGTGTGGATGATAAACTCTGTCCTTATTTCACAACTAGTAGAAAATAGTATGCATACCACCCCCATGTCTCTTTGTTTCTGCCTGCCGTTGTGTGCGCCCCCAGGTCCGACTATCGTTCCGAACAGACATCGGGGGAATGTCTGAGAACCAAGATAACTGCTTCATCTGGCGCCACGAGCCCTCGGGGAGCTTCGTGATCGGGGTGCTAGATGTGAGCTGGTCAGGGGGGGGACGGGGGGTCGTCCACTAGCGCTTTTTTGGCGGGTTTTTCTATGAAGTAGGCATGTTGGATAAAGAGTTCAATCGGGGAAGTTGGGTTAGGGTTAGGGAATAGGGATATACTCTGCGTACCCCCTCCCTGGTCTATTTACTCACTGCCTTATTAATCGCGCGAAGGCGGTCCGGGGGGGGTCCGTCGGGGGTGAATCGTGAACATCGGAAAAACTAAGAAAAGAGTGCTTTCGCTCAGCGGAATGTAGTGGTGACATTCATTCACCCTCAATTTTTCGCGTGGAATTGAGCGGGAACTACTGTATAAGGCGAATACGAAACACGAAATGAAAAATAGGTTAAGACCGAAATGTTGCGAACTCTAACGTCGTCAACCATTGATCCTCTCCCATTCCTGCGGCCCACTCACAAGCTATTCACCATAGTCGGCCGATTTCCTCATAAATGCCGTTGAAGCGAGACAACAGCAGTCTCTAGACGCCTCAAACACACGACGGTTGCCTCTCCTGCGCGGTGCCCTTCCAATGAAATCGAAAAGGGATGCGGGCACCGGGGGGCTGCTTTAGCTTTAGCCTTGACGCTGTCTGTCGTGTGTGCGCGCGTGCATGCGTGCTTTTGTTTGTTCCCAGGGACACGGGAGGGACGTCGGGCGGTTGGCGGCCCACGTGGTACAGGAGTTCATGCAGGATTGGCTGTCGAGGCGATGGGGAGAGGTCAAGGAAAACCCCGCAGAGGCGTTTCGAACGCTCTTCCGAGAGGTACATACGTGAAACCGTCGGACGATGGGGGAGCACGTGCTGGGATGGCGTGGGGGGGTGCTATGGTTGAAGGAGATTTGAGGGGGGGGGGGGAGGGGGGGCTATCTATACATCTATACATTCGGTTTGTTAGGACGGGGGAGGATTCGGTTCGCTGTTTTTTTTTTTTTTGCTGACATTTTGTTGCGGTGGGTCTTCGTGGATTGTACCGCCGGATTTCGGGTGCCCATAATTTAAGGCTGCTTGCAGACTACGTGTTCATACATACGAGCCCTGGGATGTTATGTCCATACCAACCCAATCGCGTACACCACCGAAGGGGAATCCGACGGCGAGCCTTCTTCCGAGAGGGGGGATGGAGCCGACTCTCGCGGAGTTTTTGGGTTTGTCGGTTCCATGCACCATGCTTTTTTCTCTCTTCTTTGCGTTCGCCTCACGCCCACGGCCCCCTTTGTTAGTTTGGCTGGTCGGAAGCGGTGGTGTGAACTAACTGTCGGTGACTTGGATAAAAAAACACAAATCAAGGCATGATTGATTGACGGCACGAGGCATGACCAGGCGGGTGCGTGCAGATAATATTCTTCCGTTCGCACGTATGTCCAGGAAGGCTTTTCTTTGCATCGACGTCGCTCCTCCTTCCCCTCGTGCGGTTATATCCCCTTCCTCGCCACTAATTTATTCCCTTCGACGTGCATGGTTGATTTTTTTTTTTTTTCGCTTGCCTGACTCAACCCTAGGCACACGAGTCGATGCTCCGCTCCTTCCGTGAGCATCTGCAGGGCCTTGGTTGGACGGTAAAGGTGTGCGCACGTTTCGTTTGTTTTTTGTTTTGTTTTACCGCCTCGGCATTTCTTTTTGCCTTCCTTTCCCTCATTTTTTTTTTGTGTTTTTGTTGATGATGTTTCCTCTCTTCCCGCTTCGCGTCAGAGTACCTTGAGACTGGAGGCTTGCTGGCTTGCTGGCTTGCTGGCTTGCTGGGATGTCCTCTCCGCTTCTTTTTTGCCCCGCCCGCCCTCCCGTCCCGGCTTTGTAGGGATGCGAGGTCAATGATCTAGCGACTACGGCATGCACGACTATAAGTACACCCCCCACCTCTTATTGCGGGTAACTAGTGATTTGTATTTGTCGTCGTCGCAGTTGCCGTTGTTGTTTGTCTCTGTGTTTTTGTTCGTTTGTCGTTTTCGTTGTTATTGTTATTGGTTTGCTGTGTGTGTTGGTTTGTTTTTTCATAACAACGCTGGCTCCGTAACTCATGATTCCCTTTGCCGTTGTTGTGCTGTGAATGTGTGCGTGTGTGTGATTACGTTTTTTTTTTTCAGGACAATGGGGGCTACCTGATGAAGCGACGGAGCATGACCCAGCCGTGGTCGTGCGTGCACGGGGGAACAAGCGCGACTCTGGTAGCGCTGGTCGAAGGGAGAACGCTCTACACGGCCAACGTGGGGGACAGCAGCGCGCTTCTAGCCATGCAGGGCAGACGCATAGAGGTACGGTTTTGCATGTGCGTGTAGGCGGGTGTAAGCAACGCCGGATGAGGGCATGGCTCCCGACCGCACGGCCTCTCACCTGTGTTTTGGGGCGCTGCTGCGTGCTTGGCGGCGGAGGGTGCTTCGCCGGAGGTGCTCCGTAGCGAGGGGCGATGGCCGGGGAGAGTAGATACTAAGTACTAGCTAC